GTCCTCCTTTCTCCCTCGTTCCTCTGGGAGGGAGGCCTGTCAACGTGGCACCGTAGCTACTCGCTTTGCTTCTGGGGCATCCTTGGTCCCTTCACCCGGGGGACATTTTAGGGCCATAAAGCTCCCTGAGTCCAGCGGCCCCCTTGAACGAGACAGGCGAGGACAGTCTGAGGGAGAAGGTACAGGTGGGCACGCCTTGCACTGAGTCTCCCTTTTTTTCCTGCCTCTTTGATTGTGTGGTGAGTTATTTAGCCAACAATAGATGTTTATGTATATTTTTTTAGAGCTTGTATTTATTAACAGCCTGCAAAGGGGAGACTGTGACATTTATTCCGAAAGCACAGTGAGTTAAAAGGGACAATTAGGGGAGCAGAAAGAGATATCGAGCATGGAGCTGTGAAGGATATTTTAATGCACAAAGGGTTCTTGAGATATTTTCCAAGTAGACAGAAGGTATAAGAAAATTGGCCCATTACAAGCTGATAGTGGGGGATTGGTGACACAGGGTGGTGTAACGGCTGACATGCCAAACTCCTACTTGAGGAAGGTGAGTCCAGAGAGCCAGACTGGGAGGAGATGAGCCAGAATGTCACCACGGCTGGGTCAGCAGGCTCAGCAACACGTGTTGGCCCAGACCGCATCGAAAGCTACAAGCACCTCAGTCAATCAAAGGATGTGCACAGAGAAAGGCTGGCATCCTCTGGGTCTGTGTGGAGTAGGGCCCTGAGGAGCCGGGTCCCAGCGGGGAGTTCTGGCCAAGGACTGATGGGGACAGCCTGGGGAGGTGGTAAGACTAGGAGGGAAGATTTGCTGCCAGCTCCAGGGAGCCCTCCCAGCAAACTTATTCTCTCTGACCCCTGGGCCCTGCTTCTTGTCCTCCAAGAAGCTTTCCGGCCCCCCACGCCCTGGCTCTCTCAAACTTGCCAACAGACCTTCTGGAACTGCATTCACCATGGTGGCAGAGTGCTGGGTGATTAGTTAGGTGACAAGTAAACATTTGCTAAATGGGATTCTTGGCTCCCTAGTAATGAACAGCCCCTAGCAGGAGAAAAAAAAAGGGGGGAGATGCTGTGTGGAGCGTTCTAGGGATTGCTGATGGTCAGCCAAAGTGGGCACAGGTAGAGGTGGCCATGCCTGGAGGCAAGGGAGGGGCCAAGGGCTGAGCCCTGCGTGGATGGGAAAGGAGCGAGCACGGGAGACAAAACGGCTATGGGGTACTTTCCGGGCTTGGAAGCAGCAGGTGTCTGGGAATGGGACTGTGGCCCAGGCAGATTTCCAGGAAGCGCTCCAGCATGCTGGCACAAGGGAAGGATCTGGCTGAGCAGAAGAGGCAAGTTAGGATGATGAAACCCACTGTTGAGGAACATTGGCAAGCACGCCACGAGTGGGGGACACGTGCTCGGAGAGATGCTGGGGGTGTGGGGTAGGGAAGAAGACCGCAGAGGGGGCCATACCTCCACCGCAGAGTCAAGTCCAAGTCCCTGAGTAGGACTCCCCCCAACCTTCCTCTTGCCAGGCTCGCCTCCCACGCCTCTCCCCATAGGATTCCCAGTCTTCAACTCACAGCTCTTTGCTGGTACCCCAAAGCAGCATATGGTACTGCTGCAACCCTCCAGCTTTCTGCCTCGAATATTCCCCCACCCTCTTCTTTGGCCACGCCCTCATCCTGTTAGAGCCATTGTGTGTCACCTCCTCGGGAAGTCCTCCTGGACCGTCCTCACTCCAGTTGACTTTCTCATGATGGGCGGGGTGGGCACTAACAGAGGCACCAAGCTCATACCTGTTTCCACATCTAGGCCCTGCACTCCTTATAGGAGAGTCACATCTTCCCACTTTTATGTCCCCAGAGCCTGCGCCAATGGCGGGCACGTATAGGCCTTTGATCAGCAAGTGTTGAAGAGTAAGGAGGCAACTGAGCTCTGGGGTCAAGGGAAGAGCTTCTGTGATGAGCCGCTGAGACCACCAGTGGCCACCCAGCCCCTCCCACAGGCCACCCCCCCCCCCCGCCACCGAGTGGACTGCTGTGTGGCAGGAGGGGAGAGAGGGAGGAGACGGCTCACTCCCAAGGCTCAGGGAAAGAGCCGAGAGCAAAGATGGCAGAGGGGCTGGCCCCACTAGGAACAAAAGAGGAGGGCAGGGTTCCCAGGGGCAAGGACCCACGTCTCCGGGCCTGACCACCCAGGAGGGACACTGTTTCTGGTGACCAGGGAGGTCTAGCCCCTGACTTGTCAACTTGCTCTGGTGCTTTGGGCAATGGTGTCATCGTTCCTGCGTAGCATGTGGACTGCCAAGTGACAAGTGATGTCATCCACAATAGAGCTGCTTTCATTCCCTCCACCTCTTAGAGGAGAAAGCTGCTAAAAATACACCTGGCGTCCTGCGCCCCTCTGCCTCGCCTCTAATAACAGTCGGCAACCAGAGACTGTGCTGCACTTGACAGAAGCGGATCATTTATAAAACATTAGCATTTCTTGTACTGACATTTCACTTTCATATTACAGGACTTAGTCTTCTAAAAAAAATTTAATAAAGAGCTTGGACTCGATTTTCCCACTGAGGGCTTTGCTGTCCAATGTTGGAAATGAAATCAACAACAGGACAACATCCTTGGGTTCTGAGGGACAGCTGGGCCCTGGCACCGGCCTGGGAGAGCACGCACTTTGCTCTGCGGTCCCTGCACTGCCCTCACTCCCGTTAGTGCGGGTTTCAAGCCTTGTACCGAGGCAGATTTGTTTAGTTGCGCCTGGAAACCCAGCCCTCCCCTCTCTATCTGGAGAACTGCCTCGTTTCGCTGAAGCAAGAGAGGCAGGTGCAGCCTCCAGACCCTCTCTGCTGCTGTCTGGGTGGGTCCCCGGCTTCCTGGCAACCCCTCTGGGCCCCAGGAACCGGCAGCTCCCTTCCAGGCACTCCTGAGCCCCCTAAGAATCCACAGCTCAGCTGCTGCAGGTGAGGCTCTTGGGAACAGACCAGGAAGGATCCAGGACCAGCCTGCTCTGGGGAGAGCCGCAGAGATTGGGCCGACCCAGCACAGCCAGGCTGTGGGAAGTGAGTCATGTTCTGTGAGGCTGCGCAAGAATCCTAGCACAGAGAACAAGTGTGTGTGTGTGTGTGTGTGTTCGCACGCGTGTGCACACATGCATCCCAGTGAGTCAGTGTGCCCCTGCCCCATATGGCTCCTCCCGCCAAAAAACGTGCTGTGCCCGGCCAGGCTCGCCCACCCCACAAAAGCCTGCGATCTGCCACCACTTCAGGAATGCAGAGTTAGGGGCGCCTGGGTGGCTCAGTCGTTAAGCATCTGCCTTCAGCTCGGGTCATGATCCCAGGGTCCTGGGATCGAGCCCCGCGTCGGGCTCCCCGTTCCACGGAAAGCCTGCTTCTCCTTCTCCCACTCCCCCCGCTTGTGTTCCCTCTCTCACTGTGTCTCTCTCTGTCAAATAAATAAATAAAATTTTTTTTATTTATTTGAGAGAGAGAGAGAATGAGAGATAGAAAGCATGAGAGGGAAGAGGGTCAGAGGGAGAAGCAGACTCCCCGCTGAGCAGGGAGCCCGATGCGGGACTCGATCCCGGGACTCCAGGATCATGACCTGAGCCGAAGGCAGTCGCTTAACCAACTGAGCCACCCAGGCGCCCCTAAATAAATAAAATCCTTAAAAAAAAAAAAAAGAAAGAAAAGGAATGCAGGGTTAGGAAATGAGAAACAGGGTTCTTGTCCAAGAGAAATTTTTTTATTATTATTTTCCTCTCTTGATTGGATTCAGTGTTTCTTGCTCCTCACACACATCCTCTCTGGTGGGGAATTCGGGTTTGTGCAAAGCTCAAAGGAGGTTGCACCTGCCGGGCCCTGGCCGGCAGCATGGCCAACCTTGACTGGAGCCACTGTCCCCTCGCTGGGCTTGACTGTTCCATGCCCTGCACATCCCCACTCCTGACCCCTGAGTCTGGCCCCCTCCCCCACCTCTGCCCATCCCTGGGCGTCTTCAGAAGGGCCAGCAGGGGTGGGGCCTCTGTAATGCAGAAGTGCCTGAGATGGTTCTTGAAATGCCCTCTTTGTTCCCCTTCTGCTAAGGCCACCTGATGCTTTCCCTCCTGCCGCCTACACAGGACCCTTGCTGGGATGGCCATCAAAGAGCCTCAAGGAAAAATTCAGCAGCTGAGCCATGCTGGAGGCCTGGGCTCATGCCCAGAGTCTCCCTGGCCTGTCCAGACCGTCGCTGGCAAAAACGCTAGGCTGATGACACTGCCCAGCCTGTTGGGCTAACACTGTGGATGCTGCCTGCCCGTTGGCAAAAAAGACCCAGAGCCCCTTCCGTCACCTTCTCCATGAAGCCCGTCCCCAGGGCCTGGCTCCCTGATGTCCAATGAGCTGCTTCTCGCTTCTCGCCCTGACAACACCTAGTACAGTGGGGGTGATGGGGTGCTCTGGGGCGGCAGCCGGACTTGTGTTGCATATAAAAACAAGGTGATGCTCTAAACATCGAAGAAGATTGGTCCCCTGAAGTGATTCTTGCTGCCTCCCCTTCTTCTCCCTGGCCCTTCCCACTGACCCTTTGCCCTAGGCCCTGGCAAGCACAGGTTATAACGGGGACTGTTGTTGCCAGGTTGGGATTCTAGACAACAACCCTATAACTCTTTTCTTGCTAGAAATCACCAATACAATCCTTAGTTCAACAGATATAGTTTTCCGTATAGCTTATAAACATGAGAAGACATACAGTTTGGTGGGGGGGGGCCCTGGGCCTTTGTGTGTATATATATGTGGAGAGTGCGTATATATATAAGTGGACATAGCTATAAAACTGCACCTCCTGTGAGAATCTCCCTGCACTTGATGCAGTTCTGAATTTCAGCCTCTGATGATCTTTCCTTTGGTAATTGGTTCTTGGAGCCCAGCGGCTGGGCCTGGGTCGGCCAGGGCTGCCTGAGACTTCAGGAATGAGAGGCATTACCCCCGAGGGAGGGGCTGAGGGTCGGAGTGAGGGCAGGTAGACTCCGTGGTCTCAGGCAAGAGCCAAAACACCAGCTGCTTCTGTGTTCCCAGGCGGCTGGGATACCCAGCCTCTTGGGTGAGCCTCAGCTCTTCTCCTCTAAGTTTTGCTTCGTCCAGGGATGGCAGGGGGCCCTTCAGACCTCTCCAATGACCGGGATTCCACAGAGCCCAGCTCCTGTGGGGCACTGTCCCATTGCTGCTAATGAAGGATTCACTTTGCGGGCTGTAACCACCTTGCTGGATGGATGCTGTCCGTGGGCGCTCGGCAGGGCCTGGCTGGACAGCTGGGTGTGATGCGCTCCCTAATCCCTTCCCACTTTGGGGCTGTACACTTTGGGTTTATAATCCACCAGGCAGGGCCCAGACCACAGCCGAAGACCTTACCAGCCTTTGCCTGAAACCCAGCAGATCCTCCACTTGTTAAAAAAAAAGAAAAGAGATTCTGTTCCTTGGTGGACACGTGGCAGTGCTGGGTGCTGGCGCCCCAGGTCCTCAGCGGAGAGTGACCACCAGCCCCAGTATCCAGGCCAGGAGGGAGGCTCCCAGGGAACTGCCCGAGGAGGCCTGCTGCACCCCGCTGGGGGCACGGATGGGGGTCCTGCGGGCACACTTGCCCTTCCTCTTGGGCCGCCCAGTGGGCATGATGTCAAAGTTGAACTTGTGCTGGTAGTCAGGGGCGTAGTCCTGCAGCTCGTGGGCCTGCTTTCCGGTGCCCGCCTTGGACACCTGGTTGCGATTCCTGTGGCTGGTGCAGTTCTTGCCCGGCTTCCGGTGGCCTGGGCGGGAGCCGGGCAGGTGGCCATGTGGGTGGCCCCTGTCCCTGGCAGAGCCGCGGGGCGGGTAGTGCTCCTTGCGGGCAGCCCTGTCGGTGGTGGTGAGCGTGTGCGACTTGATCTGGTGCGGGGAGGCTGGCCCCGTGCAGTTCCGGAAGTCCTCGGCCCTCAGCAGCTTCAGGTCCTGGCCTTGCCGCACCTCGGGGGACGCGCAGGGGACGGCAGAGCTGGAGCCCCGGAATCTCCGCAGCCATTCCCACAGGGAGTGCGCCCGGCAGCCGCAATCCCAAGCATTCCCGTTGAGGCGGAGGAACTCCAGGGCTCCCAGGGGTGCCAGGCAGTCGCCCTGCAGCTCGGAGAGACTGTTGTTGAAGAGAAAGAGGGTGGTCAGCCTGCGGAGGTCGTGGAAAGCCTTGTGGTGGACCCACTGCAGCCGGTTCTCGTGCAGCAGTAGCCGGTCCAAGTTCACCAGCCCCCGGAACGTGTCCTGGCCCAGGCTCCACAGCTTGTTGCCATGGAGGAACAGGTGGCTGAGGTTGACCAGGTCCACGAAGATGTCGTCCTGCAGGTACTCGATGTGATTGTCCTGCAGGTAGAGGTACTGCAGGCTGTGCAGTCCACCGAAGATACCTGCTGGAAGGGCGCTGAGCCCGCACTTATAGAGGTAGAGGGCGTGGAGCTTCACGAGGCCCTGGAAGGTCTCCGGCGCCAGCGTCCGCAGCTGCCGGTTGTCGCCAAGGTCCAGCTCCTCCAGGTGCACGAAGCCCTCGAAGGTGCTGGGGTCGATGAAGGTGATGTTGTTGGAGTAGATCCACAGGGTGACCATAGCGGGGCTGAAGTGGCCCTGCTGGAGGAGGGTGATGCGGTTGTTCTGCAGGAAGATGCGCTCGCTGTCCTCCGGGATGCCCTCGGGGATGGCGGCGAAGTTGTGCGCCTGGCAGCTGACCGTCATGGGTGCCGGGTAGCACACGCAGTCCCGCGGGCAGCCGCCGCCCAGGGGCAGCTCCCCCGCCAGCAGCAGCAGCAACAGTTCCACACAGCACCCTGGCGGGGGGGCGGGGGGGAGAGAGAGCACAGCCAGGTCAGGGTCGGCCAGGGGAGGCGGGGACGGCGGGGCTGCGGGGCTGGGGGACGCGCCGCCCCCCTCGGCCGGGCTCTGTGCTGGGCTGTGCCCAACTCGGCGGTCTGGGATGGCAGCCCCCTGGGGGAGGCTCCTGCAGGGAGGAAGGCGGGGGTCGGGCCCAAGCGGGGCCCTCACCCGGCCTGAGACAAACGCTCTGGCGCTCCGCCCCTGCGGAGGCGTCTCTCCCCTGTCCCGGCGGCGAGGAGAGCTCGGGGACGCGCGCCGTACCCTCAGTCCCGCCCCTAAGCCCTAGCGCGGCCCCCAGGCTCGGCGCGCCCTGCTGGGGTGGGCGTCGCAACCCATGCACGCGGCGCCCAGCTTCTGGTTCCCGTCCCAGCTCTGTCACTTACTCCCTTAACAGTACATGAGCAGGTAGTGCTTCAGACTCCTGGTCTAACAAAGTAAATATATGGACGCCTGAGGAGTCTTTTTATGTATTCTTAATAACAAAGCATGCATGCAAGACACCAAAGTTCAGCTCAAAAGATGTCTCATTTATGGTGCCTTCTGTGTCCTCAAATATGTGACAGCTCTGTGCCTCAGTTTCTTCATTTCTAAATAGTAGTAGTTGTTCCTTGCGGAGCCGCGAGGATGTGCTAAGGGGACATGTGTGTGAAGGACTGGGGGAGACACCAGGGCTGCCTGGCTTTGGCCCCCCCCCCCATCGGGTCCATCTTCTGGCCCCTCCCCTCTCCGCACCTCACTCCCAGGCTGTGTGCTCCTAGGCTGTGGTTGCAAACCAGGCCTTTTGCCTCTCGACTGTCCGGAGCATTTCCTCTGTAGCTTCCCTCTAATTGGGCATTAATTAGGCATTCGTTAATGGATCCTTAAAATAATTTATTTTCGGATGTGTCCAGCCTGTGGTCGGATAATAGCCCCGTGCTCATTATCGGAGCGGCTTCATTATAGACGATCATCATTACCTGCCTTTTTCCAGGGTCGCAGCTGCCCCAGGCTGCCCGGCAGGCGCGCCGGCAAGCGAGGACAGGCTCCAGGCCGGTAGACCCCCACCCTGCAGGGCCAGGCAGCCATCTCGTCCCTGCCCGGGCTTGGCCTCTTGCCCGTCCCTTCCAGCTTGGCCAGCTGGGCCTCTCGGGGGAGGCTGGGGCCTGGGGCAGCTCAGCTGATTCCTGCTGTGGGCTCTGCCCAAAGCAGGTGGAGAGAACCAACACTCCCCGCCACTCTCAGACTGGCCCGCTCCCGGCCTCACCAGGGCCACTAGGCCAGGCTCCCAGGCCAGCATCCTGGCCAGTCTCGGGCAGGCCTAGCCACCACTGCCACCCCCTCATCCCTGGCATGGTAAATAAGTGACAGCTCCCAGCTGTTGGGAGTTACGGGCTCGCAGAGAGCGGCAGCTGCTTCCCATCCCCCTGTAATCACCCGGCTTCCACCGAACGTTTCCAACATAAAAATCATCACATATAACTTCGTTTTTGCATAATTGGGTTCGGTTGCGATTTCAGAGCAATTATGACCTCGGTGGCGGCGGCGGCCGTGCAGCTGTGAGGACCCTTTCCGGGCCGGGCCACGCTCTAGGTGGTTCCTGCAGTGTCTTCAGTCATCGCGACCACTGGACAGCCTGCGGGCTAAGCCTCAGTTTCCCTCTCTGTAACACGGGTAGGACACGATCGCTTTGCCAGCGTGCCCCACGAGGAGGCTCGGGTCTGACCTCTAGGCCCCCATTGCCCACCTCAGTCTGGCAGGGGGTCCCAGCTGTGCAGGGGGAAGCAAGAGTGTGAGGGGCTGGGAGCCTGGACCCCAAGCCCCAGCTGACTCTCCTGGATCCTGCCAGGTGCCTTGAGCCACCGAAAGCCAGGGGTGGGAGGAGGGCCCAACCCACACTGGCTGCAGCTTCCACAGAGACTGACACCCCTCTCCCCTCTCTTGCTGGCACTCCTCACCCCTGCCCAGGCTGCCGTCTCCCAGGAACCTTGCCCCAGGGAAGCGGCCCCCTCCTTGCCGTTCGGGGGGGGGCCCAGGGGACCCCTCCCAGCTCAAGGGCGTTCACAGTGCTCACTGTGCTGAAGGGGACCAAGCCACGGTCACAAACCGGTGCTTGTGGGACACACAGTGCCACACCAGACCCGGGGGGGGGGCGATGCTGCAAAGAAAAAGGCTTTTCCTGCCCTTATGTCTGGCAGCAGAGAGACACCGACCATGGGGGCAGGGGTAAGCTGTGGCAGGCTCAGCACTAACACCACTCAACATTTGTGCAGCTTATGAAGTTTACAAAAGTGCTTCTGCTTGCTCTCCTCTGATCCTCAGCATTACTGTGTGGTGGGGGGTGTTCTCCTGCCCCCCCTGACCTGGATGGGGGCAGACAACCCTTCCGCCTGCTGTTGTGGCTATGTATCCATAAGGCCCTGGGGCTGGGCTTCTCTGAAGTGTTCCCAGAGAAGCTGGGGGCCCCAAGGAGAGCCATAACCTTCCTTAGACAGGTGCCCCAGGGAATGTCGGAGTACAGGGAAACCAGGCAGAGACCCCAGCTTGGATGAAAAAAACAAATGCCCAAAAATCTAGGCATGGGCTGAGCAGCCAGCTTGTGAACCCGATTTGGCAGATGTGTGGGGTAAACGCAGGACCCAGGGCAGGAACCCCCCATGTCCTTCCTACGAGAGGGGCCCCGAAGGAGGCAGGGACCCCAGCCAACCGCTAGGAGCTGCTCTCCATCCTTCAGTGCTGCCCAGATGCCAGGGATCCGGGCCAGGGAAGCTGCCCTTGCACTACCTCTGCCTCCTTCCACTGGGCACTGGAGTGGGTCTCCGCTGAATCTGCTTCTCCACCCTAGAAGCTGGTCCCATCTCCAAGGCCCTGGACCAGCCCTCCCAGCCAAACTCCCCCACCCTTGGCACCCATGCTCAAGCCAATGGGTGCACTGGTCCTGGATTGTCACCCTGCCGGGTTTCTTCCCAGGGAGGCTGGCACTTGGTCACTACAGCTCTTCCTCCTGTGCCCCGCCGTGTGCCAGTGGGGGGCCCCAACCCCATTGATGGCCTGATTAATGTACCAACAATGAGGCGGGTACCTTTGCCGTGCACTTTAAGATCGCAAATTAGCAGCGGGGCTCCGTGGAGGAGCCTTGCACCCCCTCCCATCCGCCTCAGCCCTCTCCTGGGTGGGGCGGGGGTTGCTCTGCCCGAGGGGGCTGAAGAAAGCAAGGCTGGGCCTCATCCCCCTTTCCTCAGGCTCTCCTCCTCTCCTCCAGGGGCATGCACGTGACTGACCGCTCGGCTACTCCCAGGCCTCCTGGCCTCCCACACAGCTAGCTCACCTGAGGCTCTGCAGCCTCATTCCTTCCTTCGTCCATTCAATACTCGCCCTGAGTCTCGGAGTGTCCAGTGTGCTAGGGCAGGGAGGAGCCCGCGGATGAACGGCGCAAGCCCTCATGGTTCATTAGCAGATAGGGGGCCCCCAATCCCAGGCAGTCTGGCCAGGTGCCGGGGCCCAGAGTAGGCACCTAAGGGTGTGTGTGTAAGGGGAAGCTCAGGGAAGGTCCCTGCCGCCCACGCCACCTCCTCCAGGAAGCCTTCTGCTCCCCTGCTAGCATAGAGAATACACAGTAGAGACTGTATTGTTTCCATGTCCTCCTTCCCGCAAATCCCAAAACCCTTCACCTGCTGGGCAGGAACCTGTGGGGGAGGGAGCGAGTAGACCTCACCCAGTCTACTGAGCAACCCCAGATGTGCTTATGAATGGGCCTGTGGGGCTGGACCTGGCGGGATGGGTGGGAAGGGCATAACAGGCAGAAGGCACAGGATATGCAAAGGCACTGAGGTGGGGAAACAGGCCATGTGCCCCCATCTTACCCCAGACCTCCTCTTCTCTCAGCCTCTAAGTAGCCAGAGCTCCCAAAGAAGCTGTAACACTAGCTCTGCGAGGCTGGGGACACCCAGGCCTGGGGAGGCCGGAGAGGTCCCCAGGGCAACCAGCACTGACAGGACCTCTGCTCCAGTCCCAGGCCAGATGGCCAGAATGGCAGGGGTCCTGCAGCTTGCCCATCCTGGGAGCAGGACGGAGCTAACCAAGGAGGAAGACCCAGTCCTAATCACGGACAAGGTTCTTTAATGGAACCCTCACACCACCACACCATCCAAGAGGAAATGAGGCACGGGGAGGGGGGGCGGGGGAAGGAGAGAGGCTAGCTGAGGCCACACAGCTGGTGAAGAGGGTGGTGGAACAGGCCTCACCCCTGACTTCAAATCCAGAAGCTCCAAGTTGCCAAGGGCAGGCAGGGCAGCCTCATCGGCTCATCATCGGATGGACGGCTGCTCAGCCCTCCCCAGCCCCGCGGTCTCAGCCCTCCCCAGCCCCTCGGTCTCAGCCCTCCCCCTGACCATCTCTCCCTACACCCATGCAGGGACAGCGCCATGGCCTGGAATCCCCTGAAGGCCCCCAGGCAGGTCTGTGGGGCTCTCTGAGCCTCAGAAACTTGTCAGCCATGTGGCCAATCCTTGTGGCTCTGCAGCCCACCCTCCCTCCGCACAGGCCCGGGGCGCCCCCCTCCACCCGCCCCAGCCTTGCCAGATGCTCTTCTCTGAGCCAATCGATGCTAACCAAATGGCTCGGCCGGTCAGAGGACAGCCTCGGGCCACGCTGGCTGAGCTCACGGAGCTACTGGCGCCCCAGGCCACTTGGCACAGTCCCTCCAGGCCACACCCAAGCACACGCCACTTTCCGAAGCGTCCCCCCACCCCAGCCTGGCCCAGCCCTGGAGACAAGGAAGCCAGCCCAGGGAGGCTGGGCTTCCCTCCTCGGCCCCCCGCTGCAGATGCCTGTGATCCACTCGCCCTCTAGATCTCCATCCTTCAAATGCAGTCTGTCCAAAGGTGAGCTGCAGCTCCTTCACCCCCCAGCCTCCTCCACAAGCATCTTCGCATCTTCTCCGCTTCGGGTGAAGGCAGCGCCTTCATTCTGGCAGCTCAGGCAAGAACCTCAGAGTCATGCCAACTCCTCTCTCTCACCTCATACCCAATCTGCCGGCAGTCCTGTGCGCTCACCTTCACAGTGTACCCGGAATCCACCCATGTCTCCCGGCCACCAGCCCAGCCTGGGCCCCCATCATCTCTCACCTGGCCTATTGCCACAGTCTCCTGAGGGGTCCCCGGGCTCCCACCCTTGCCCCTACGTGTCGGCTAACACAGCAGCACAAGTCTGAGTCAGAGCATGTGACCCCTCTGCTCAAACCCTCCTTGGCCCCATCATGCTCAGTAAGACCCTCCAGTCTTTACTGGGGCCCTGGCCACAGCCTCTCCTCCCTCGCCCAGCCTCCTTTTGCTCTTCTTCACATGCTGGGTGTGTCCTGCCTCCAGCCTTTGTCTGCTCCCTCCTCCTGGAGCACTGCCCAGGATACCTGCAGGGCCCAGCGTTCAGGTCTCTCCCAGGATCACCTTCTCAGCCAGGCCTTCCCAAGCAGCCTATTTAAAATAGGGAAGGAGCCCATCCCTGTTTTACTTTTCCCCTTAATGGTCATCCTCTTCTAATAAATTATTTCATTTATTTATTTATCTTGTTCCTTTTCTGTCCCCTCCCACTGAGTGTCAACTCCATGAGGACAGTGCTTTTGTCTGGTGCATTCCCCGCTGAGCCGCTGGGGCCTAGAGTGGTACCTGGAACATAGTAGGTGCTCAATAAACATAGCAGTTCTTGTTAGTACCAAGGCCTCTGGTAAGAGCATCCTCGGCCATGGCTCTCTCTCGAGGGTCCCTGGGCCATCATAGGGGGACAGATGGTGGGGAGAGCTCTGCAAGGGAAGTTACACACCAGGCCTGTCCAAAGGGCAGGCGACCAACACAGCTTTGCCTGGGACTCAGGGCTTTCCCAGGACTTGGGACTTTCGGGGCTAAAACCAGTAAGTCCCAAACAAACCAGGACAAGTCAGTCACCCTATCTGAGGCCAACACTGTGCCATCCTTCCAAAATCCAAACTCTCTGGGCCCAGGAAGGGGTTGGGACACATAGGCAGGCACGAAGCATGAGTGTTCTCTAGACACCCACACCTTAGGTCTACTGTCTGCAGCCCAGGAGGCAGGCCCGGCCTACACGGAGCCTGTGTGTGTGCACGGATCTGAGTACATCTCTGTGCATGCGTGTGCTACTGTGTGTTTAGCCATGTATGTGTACATGGCCACGTATGCATGTGTATGCAGTATCTGAGTACGTGCACATGTGTGTGCAAGCTCATGTTTGTCTCTGGAGGCCACCAAGGGGGCTGGCAGCCTGGGCCTTTTCTTCCTGCAGCATCCCTGAACTCCAGCCCAGAGAGGGGGCCTGGGTCTGTGATATCCCCGTCTTATCTCGGCACTCACTCTGGCTTTGTCTTTAGCTCCTGCTCTCCTCCCAACATGCTCAATTACGTACCTTCTCCAGGGTCACTCTCAGCTGGGAAGCAGGTGGCCCCTTACTGGAACAGTCCTTGGCTTTTACCTGCCATGGCGAACCCCCTGCACAGGCCTGGCCGGGATGCTGTGCTAACAGGCCTGCCGAGCTCTCAGGGGGCCTCACTGGAGCAACCTCAGGCTCCCCGGCTTTGCCTAGCCGTGTCTGCCACCTCCTCGCTGCGGGGTGCCCTCTGGGGGGGTGGGATGCCGGAGGCTGGCGCGAGCAGCTCTATACCCCGGTACTGCCTGGCTTTGGGACCAGCCCCACTGGGAGCACATTTCAGCTAGGCAACCTGGGCAGGTCACTAAACCTCCAAGGCCTCAGTGTTTTAGTCCAGGAACTGGGAGGCCGAGCCCCTGCCTTAGGCATTGCTAAGGGTGATGATTGTGTTACCGGTACTGTTATCAAAGGAGCTGCTGCTCACCCTCTCAGTGCTCTCCCCAACCCCAGTGTACCCTGGCTTTCACCCTACCCTACTCTGGTGCTCCCAGACCCCAGAGGCCTGGCAGAGGGACCTGACAGATCAGACACTGAGTCAGGGCTCAGACCCAGGTTCAAGTTACTTCCCTGCCAGGCCTTGGCTGCCCCCAGGACACTGCAGGTGGGGATGGGGTCTTGACCTCTCTACTTTGCCCTTCCTCCCAGTCCATCCATCTCCATCTGGAGTTGCCAGCTCTCTGCAGAATGCCCCTTCCTTCACCTCGGGAAGCCCCTCTGGGGCTCATAAAATGTGTTCCATGTTACTCAAATTTGCTCCTCGGTTTGGGGGCCCCAGAATCTGGGCTGTGGCAGCCCAAGGCTGACGGCTGTGGGATTCTGAGATCCAGCCCTTCCCAGGAGGATTTGAGAAGGCTCTGCATCCTTCCTCCTCCCTCCAAACCCTGGAGCCTACTGTCCCTTCCCCAGAAGCACAGCAAACTGTGGACCCACCTGTACCCAGACAGGCTCACTGAAACTGGAGTGGTATCTTAGGTGTGTTTGATGGGGCAGGTGAACCTCTGTGGGCATGGGACCGTCCCCAGGGGCAAGCATCTACTGCCTGCCTGGGGGTCGCTGAGGGGTTGTGAGGGAGAGAGAGTAGGGGTGGGGATCTACCAAATCCCGAAGGCCCTGGCACTGGCTGACAGAAAGCAGGAGATAGGACCCAGCCTGTGAGAAGCAGGTGCAGAACTCTTCCAGGAGCCCTTGTTCCTAGTTCCTGGAACAGCACCCTTTCCTTGTCCGCAAAAGGCGTTCAGAACTCACACCTGGGGTATCGGTCACCTGGTCACCCCATTCTGAACCTGTCCCCTGACTCCTTCATTCACGCAAGTTCACTCTGTGCTTGGTGCTGCAACAGTAGGATCCAGCTCCTTCCCTCACGGGGCCTACACGTTCCAGCAGGGAGATGATTAAGCCAAAGGACCAGACAAGACCAAACTGACAAACGGCGGTAGACACTGGGGACACAACAAGGGGGTTAAGACTGAGACAAACGGGGGCACCTGGGTTGTTTAGTCCGCTGAGCGTCTGCCTTCGGCTCAGGTTATGATCCCAGGGTCCTGGGATCAGGCCCCACATTGGGCGCCCTGCTCACGGGAAGCCTGCTTCCTCTCCTCCCCACTCGTGCTCTCTCTCTCTCTCTGTCTCTCAAATAAATAAATAAAATCTTTAAAAGAAAAAAAAAAACAACTGAGAGAGTACCTGGGTGGCTCAGTGGGTTAAGCGACTGCCTTTGGCTCAGGTCATGATCCCGGGGTCCTGGGATCGAGCCCCACATCGGGCTCCCTGCTCAGTGGGGAGCCTGTTTCTCCCTCTCCCTCTGCCTGCCACTCCCCCTGCTTGTGCTCTCTCTCTCTGTGTCAAATAAATAAATAAAATCTTAAAAAAAAAAGACTGAGACAAATGGGGGGACTGACATTAGTTTGTGTGCTCATGAAGGGCCTCCCTGAGCAGCGACACCTGAGTTGAAACCTAAAGGAAAGGAAGGAGCCAAAGAACAGAGGGAATAGCAGGTGCAAAGGCCCTGGGACAGGACCAAACTTAGTATAGATGAGGGAAGAAGGGCAGGGCAGGGCAGGAGATGCAGTCAGAAAGGCAGGAGGCGGGCTTTGTAGGGACTTGAAAGCCTCAGTGGAAGAGTTTGGATCTAATTCTGGGTATGGTGAGCAGCCACGGAAGAGCCTGAAGTGGGAGCAGTATGATGGGATTTGAGAGACTGCTACTGAGGCATAGATGGGGGGGGCAAAAGGAGGCGCAGGGCCATGGAGTCAGAGAGCAGTGGACAGGATGAGAAATGTTTAGGATGTAGACTTGGCAGGACATAGAAGAGGACCAGTGTGAGGGATGGAGGTTGGGAGGGACATGGGGTGGCTCCAGAGGATGAGGGTACAGTGAGACTGGAGGAGCCTGGGAAAGCAGGCTCAGGGGCCAACAAGAGCTCCATTTAGGACACACGAAGTCTGTGGAGCCTTACAGGGCTGTTTAACTGGTGGCAGGTGGATACACCAAACTGGAGGTGAGAGGAACACTTGGGAGTCACGGGCGTAGAGATGGTATTTAAATCCGTGGGAAAGGATGAGGTCACCTGTCAAGAGAGGGGAACCAGGATCAAGGCCTCCCGCAACACAATTCTGGAATGTAAAGGAGAAGGAACAGCCAGCGATGTCAAAGGAAAGCCATGGTGCCTGGTGTGACGGAAGCCAAGAGTGTTTCAAGAAGGAAGGTGGACTCTGCCATGATGAGGGCTGGGAGAGTTCCGTGAGGATGAAGTGCAGTTGTTTGGCAACATGGAGGTAACTGGTGATGCCAGAAAGTTGATTTCTGGGAGAAAGAGGGGGGCAGAATGCATTCTAGAGGGGGAGGAAGAGTGAATGAGGAGCAGCACTGGGTCAGCCAGGACAGGTTAGGGCATGCGAATGTAACCAGCGGCCCCAGGGTCTCAGTGGCTCACGACAGAGGCTGGTTTCTTGCTCAGGGATCTGGGTGGAGAACACATCCTCCACCCAGAACCCTGGGTGTCTCACAACAGAGAGGACAGAGGCTGTGGTCGCGGTGGGATTTTGTTTCAAGCAGCACTCCTGCTCATGCGTCATGGGTCAGAGTCAGTCACGTGGCCCAGCCCAGCCCCACCCGGCCAGGGAAGAATCCTGGGGTGCTGGTGTCAGGGAGCAGTGTCTGTGAGCACCCAGAGGCCACTCACTCAGAAACTTTGCTGTGAAGGGGGCAGAGACACAGGGCAGCGCCCGGAGAGGCGTGGAGTCCTGGGAGGTCGTCTGCTTTTTAAAGCTGGAAGAAACTAGACCTTGTTTGCACGCTTGTGGGTGTGATTTGGGAGGAGGGAGAGGGAAAGAAGCCGAAGCAGTAGGAGTGGGAGGGCCAAAGGACCAGAGGCCCAGAGCGCTGAAAGAACACCCTCCCGCGGCAAGGGGAGGGACGCAGGTCTGTGCGAATGACAAGATGACGGAGTTGCCCCCCCCCACCCCAGGCTTCTTGTCTCCCTGAAGTAAAAGGGGGTCATTAGCTGGGAGCAAAGGTAGGGAGGAGCGCGGGAGTTTGAAGAGAAAGAAGACAGAATGAAGCAGGCCTTCCATTTGGTGGGAAATCAAACTACCCCAGTCGCATGAGACGTTTGCACGTTTGCAAACACAGGTTTCCAGCGCCCACTCTGCCCGCCAGGCCCCTGCCCAGGTCCTCCTCACCGCCGCTGGACTGCTGGGGCTCTCCGGCCCCTCTGATGACGTCTGCTGCGTCACTCCCCGGCTCACGGAGCTGCATTCGCTCAGCAGACATTCGCCCCTCCCCTTCCTCTGGGCCGGACACTGTGCCAGGAGGGCTCTGGGGACAAAAGACCCAGTTCCTGGCTTCCACGAGCTCACAGTCTTCCCCAGATGCCTCCAGGAGAGTGTGTTGTGGACATGTGTCACTCCTCTTGGCCACCCAGCTGCTAAACCCTCTTCCTGTATTTGGGAGATCTCCCAATTTAGGTACATGAGTCCCTTCCCTCCCTGTGGAAGCTGAAAAGGTCAAGCCCTCACTTTCTCATCCTTCCTGGAAGACTGGGCAAGGCCCGTAACCCAGACTTTGAACTAGGACTTAAATGGTGCGATTAAGCTGGGAGCAATGCTTACAAGGATGGTGGCAGAGCCAGTGTGGGCGGTGACTGTGACGGGAACATTGGAGGTACGAACTGGAAGTCCCTTTGTCTTTGTTTGGGGCATCGCTCCTGTCTGTGGAGCCCCCAACCCTTTCGGAGATTCTGTGGGTTACCTGTAAATAGATCTGCTTTTTATTTAAATTAGTCAAGGCTGGTGTGTCTGTTGCTTGCAAGTAAGAATCCTCACTGATGTGAGGTCCCTCCAGCTGAGCACGGCTTGAGCTGCATCACCCTGGTGGGGCCATCCTGAGGACACTGCCTAATGGTTCTTTCCACCAAGACCCCCAGAGCCACCCTGGTTCTTGCCCTACCCAGACCTGGGGTTGTTCAGCTTCTTCTTTGGGTACCATTTGCTTTCTGCAGCGGCCCACCTAACACCCCCCTTCTTGGCTATCAAGATCCAGATTTCATTCAGCTACCAGCTAGCCGGACGCCCTAGAGGAGCTAAACTCCTTCCCCAGGAGTGGGAGGGAGCCAGTCTACTCCATTGTCAGTGATTGGTTTAGATAGGAGCATGTGACTCCATTCTGACCAATGAGACACAAAGAAAGTCAACTGAAGGACTTGGGGGCGGGGCAATGCTCTTCCTTCTTTTGAAAAGGGACACAAGGAAGGGATGTTCTCTCTTCCTGCCTCTGAGGGTGGTTGGGTGAGAATCAAATGCCTGGTGCCCACGCACCATCTTTCGGCCATGAGGAGACCTAAAGGCCTAAAGGCCAAAGCCAGTTTACCAAAGACTGCAGAGTGAAAAGATGGCGAGGACCTGGATCATAATGACCTTATTAAGCCAAGGAGTCAGCCAGTCCTGGGATCTCCAAACTTCTTATAAGACATAATAATTCTCGTTATAGCCATTGTGATTTGGGTGTTGTTTTTTTTTAAGTTTCATTTTTTAAAAAAGATTTTATTTATTTATGAGAGTGAGCCCAAGTGGGGGAGCAGCAGGCAGAGGGAGAAGCAGACTCCCTGCTGAGCAAGGAGCCCCGTATGAGACTCGATCCCAGGACACTGGGATCATGACCTGAGCTGAAGGTGGACGCTTAACCAACTGAACCACCCAGGCATTCCTGATTTGGGTTTTTAATTACAGCCCCAAACACATCTTCCAGTGAGTTCCTCTTTTGCTTAAGTCAGTCAGACTAGATTTCTCTTGCTTACAACCAAAGAAGCCTAACTTACTACTTGCATGACTTGGCTCAGACAGGACCTGTCCCAGGAAGCCTCCCCAGACCCTTCACTCTGGGTTAGACCCCCCACCCTCCTCCGTGCTGCCTCCTCTCCAAGCACTCACGACTCTCTTAAAGTCACCTGCCTCCAACACCAGGGGTGCGGAACTGCTGGGGTGCCCAGTTGGTGCACAAAGCTCATCCATACATGTCTGGAAAGTGAAGGAATGAATGGATGATTTAGCTGATGTAATTTGAGCCCAAAGCAAAGAAACCAGGTGCTTTCCTTAGCTGAGGCAGACTTATTGTGGGTAGATGTAGATATACAATAAGTTTTAGCAGCCAGAGGCCACCAGGTATCTCATGCCTAAGAGGATAAATGAGTTTACGAGGCATTTCAGGCCTTGCCTCAAAGGACTTTCTCTTCTGCCCCATCATCAGCAGAGTCCTGACTGGCCACTTAAGACCCCTGCAGGGAATGCTTCAAATGTATCTGTGGTGTTCTGCGTCTTAACCTGAGCAATGGACTCGGGGAATGTTAGTTTTATTATTCTCTATACCTTAAACATACTATATTTTGATGCATGCATTTAATATTTAACAAAGGAAATAAATCATGGAGGAAAAAAAAGACATCTTGCAGAGTCTAGGAATCTCAGGCCCCAGGCCTTTACTGGCCTCCTCCTCCCTGCTGTCTCGAGCCCTGTGCTTTCTCCAGGGCCCGACCTCCAGCCAGCCAGCCAGCCAGCCAGCCCAGCAACACATTCCAACCTCTGACCACAGGCCTGGGAGCTCTGACCCAGGCAGAAGTGGCACGGGCTTTCTCCGTGTGGGCCCCAAACCCTATGCTCCCCCGGAAGGTTTTTCTTTCAAGCCACTCTTCATCATTTATTTTAATTCTAAAATCATACTTGCCAATTGTGGAAAACATGGAAAGTAGAGAAGTGAAAAGGAAGAAAAGCCATCACAATCCCATTACCCTTGACAACCATTGGCAGTGCCTTGCTGTGCTTTCTCTCTGTACTTCCTTCATTTATGTAAGGATATATAAATTTAAATAAAAATTTTATTTAAAGCAATAAAATTGGGATCGTGCTGTATATGAGCTCTGTATCCTGTGTCTTCTGCTTAACTTAGACCATTCATCCATTCAGCAGCCCTCCAGGTGCCTTCCTCTGTGAGGCTCTACGGTGAGGCGGCTCGGCATGCAGAGTGACGCCACCCCCCAGGAGAGTACAGTCGGAAACAGATAGTCATCAAATGGTCACATCCATATATAATCACACCCTGAAAAGAGGAGCCCCGTAGAGAGAGATCCAAGTAGCTATGAGGAATGTGGGGGCTCCCCTTGGCAGTGGGAGTGGGAACGCTGGGAGAGTTTGAAGATTGAGAACTCCATTGGGAGGGTCGGGAGGTGGGGTTCCAGGCAGAGGGAACAGCCTATGCGGAGGGCCTGGGCCAGAGGAAACACACAGTTAAGTAACAGAAGAACGGTATGGTAATGGTGTGGAGACTGCAGAGTATCCTTCTGTATGGACAGCCCATAATTTGTTTATCTGTGGAATATTTCGATTGTTTCTCATTTTTCACTGTTACAGATTATCATGACAAAATTGGTAATATTAGTTGCCTCCTGGGAGGACTACTAGAAGCTCAGGGACTAGGGAGAGGGGAACGTCACTGATACCTGACATCATACATTTGGTTTATTGCCATGTGAATATTCTTATTGATTCTTTTTTTTTTAAAGATTTTATTTATTTGACAGAGAGAGATGCAGCGAGAGAGGGAACACAAGCAGGGGGAGTGGGAGAGGGAGAAGCAGGCTTCCCGCTGAGCAGGGAGCCAGACGCGGGGCTCGATCCCAGGACCCTGGGATCATGACCTGAGCCGAAGGCAGATGCTTAACGACTGAGCCCCCCAGGAGCCCCTCTTATTGATTCTTTCAAGAGTCAGCGGGAAGCCTGGGTGGCTCAGTTGGTTAAGCGTCTGTCTTGGGCTCAGGTCATGATCTCAGGGTCCTGGGATCGAGCCCCACGTGGGGCTCTCTGCTCAGCGGGGAGCCTGCGTCTCCCTCTCCTCCCCGCTCATGCTCTCTGTCGCTATCTCTGTCTCTCTCTCGCTCAAATAAATAAATAAAATCTTACAAAAAAAAAGAGTCAGCTAAACTACACAACATTGGAATGAACATCTTTGTGCATAAAGCTTTGTCCGAATTTCTCGGCCTTTCCCTAAATCAGATTCATTGAGTCAAAGTCCTCTCGA